AGCGTTGCTAAGTTGACTCGAATAGAGCAGCGATCTTGGCAGCTATGGGAGCACGCTAAAAAGTTCCGAGATAACGACGATTCACTTTCCGTGCCCCACTTGTCATGTAGCAAGTAACGCGACGAAAGTTGCCGTATTTTGGCATGTCAGTGACAAATCTGTACTCCTTGCAGCAGCAAGGTTTCCTCTACCATGGGCAAGCGCAATATCGAAGCGGGCACATTCGGCGTTGTTCTCCCCGAGAAACACGCCTGGCTATTTTGTTAAACTAGCATTCCTCCGCTAGCACCGCACATGGGCAATAGTGGGATTGCTTTATCGTATAGCGTAGTGGGAGAACCAGAACAATCTACTAAACGTCTCTATTGTTAATATGCGCAAGATAGACTGTGCCTAGTGCAACAGCAAGGAACGCAATTATTATTTATGCGACCTAACTTTGGCGCATCATTATAAGATATCTATAAGTAAGTAAAAAGGAGCCAAGCACTCGAGTTGCCGTCAGTGCCATTGAACATGTTCGCGGCGGCGCAAACGTAGAGGAGGGAGTTTTCGTCCCTTTTTTAAGCGCCTCCAGACGGTGCTGCGTATGAATGGGTGAAATAGAGGAGCGGGAGCGATTTCCTCCCCTTTCAATGGCAACAGCAAGGAACATCTTTGTTTTCTCCATTTCTCCTTCTACTGTTTTGTATGTGTGTGTGTGTGTGTGTGTGTGTGTGTGTGTAGCTAGCATAAAGCAAAGTTCGGAAGATCTGGAAGCCTTTGAATAGACCGATCTCACCAAGCGTTCGACGCATGTGCGAGGCAGCCATAACTTTAGTTCACAGGGGTAATTCGGAAGTGCACGAGACTGTTCGTACCCTGCACGCGCAGAGCTCCAGCGAGGTTGTCGCACCCGCAGAAAGACTAAAGTTCCCTCGATGCATTGCGGCAGCGGTGGCGTAGTCAAACTGGCTGGTGAGATCGGTCTCTCCTGCTGAGGTTAATATAGTCTTGCAAAATAAGATCAGCGGTAGATGCTACGCCTTCAAAGCGAGCTTTCCAGGTTGCATACCACTTCGGCGAACGTGAAGCCAAAAACGCACTAGATGCTGCAGACACAGCATCTAGTGCTTCTATTCTGTTGCAACAAACTGTGTGAAAAAGGTAACCGTTCTACGTACGGTGAAGCCTACAAAACGCGCAGTTCATTCTACTTGCCCTTCGTCCCTCGTGTCGGCAAGGCCGTAATAAGAGATATAGACTAGATCGCACACCGCACTCACTAAGAATCACTCCACGTTTTTTTTATTGTGAATTAAACTTTTCAGAGAGGCGTGCATATCTTCCCGTTGCTTCTTGCAGGAGCGTGGCTGGTTTCGCCGCAAAATGGCCCAGTCTTTGAAACAATCTCGAGGGTGAAGTTTGTTCCTACGAGGTAGTCACAAAACTCTTCACTGACCCATACGAGAGCCAAGCCCCCTTTTTCTATCTGGGCGTATTGACGCTGAATGTCTGTGAGGACACTCGAGGCGTATACTATCACCTTGAGCGCTGTCCTTCCTTCTGATGCAGGACAGCACCCAGGTCGTTCGCAGATATGTCTGCGGTCGCAACGGTTTTTCAGTTTCGATCATAGATGCCTAAAGCTGGGTCTGATGAAAGCATTTCTTTTCATTGGTCGAAATCGAGCTGTTGAAGTTGATTCCACATAAAGTCTTGCTTCGTGCTTAGCATCGACAATAGGGGTTCCGACATCTGTACAACATTGGGCATGGAGCGTGTAAGATACGTTGCCATTCTCATGATGCGTCGCAACTCATTATTCAATGTGGGATGTGGCATACAAACAATAGCCGACAGCTTTGCTGGGTCTAGTTGGACTTCATTGTTTTCGATTAGGTGTTCTAAGAAGGAAATCTTGACGTTGAAATTACATCTTTCCATGTTTAGCGTGATCCCTGCTTTAATTAAGCGCTCACGGACTGTCCTTAAACGAAAATCGTGTTCATCTTTTGTCGATCCCAAGATTAGAACGTCGTCCACGTGGCGTGTCACTCCATAGAGGAACAAGATGTCCTCCGCCATTTTTCTTTAAAAATCTGCTGGCGCCAGAGAGGTTCCATTAAAGGGGTATCCACACGAAGGAGAAATCCGCCACTTTCCTCCGCGGATCGCGCATCACGTGAGGCATACGTCATCCCTTTTTTGACGCCTCGCGGCGCGTTCTCCTCCGTGGCGGAGGCGCGGAGGCTTTGTGCCGACAGCACGAAAGCTCCGCAAGTGCACGCGGCGGAACCGCGGACGGAGTTTCCCGGGATGTTGACGTCACCACATCCGTCCGCGGAGTTCTCCTTCGTGTGGATACCCCTTAAGCAGCCTCTTAAAGCTGAACCTTCCAAATCATGTTATGATTGTGGTCAAAGTTTGACTGTTTTTGCTTAGCGAGATTGGACGAAATTCCAAGTTGGCATTGATTCTTTGAGAATATGATTGCTTTGTTTAGCACCCCCAAAGAGTGTTACATGGTAGGAATCGGGTGCCATTTTATTTGAGCATATTGACTGAGTTGTGTGAAGTCAACACAGTTACGTATGGCTCCCGAAGGCCACCACAATCGGGACGCACCACTCTACTGGTTCAGTCATTTCCATTTTCTTCAATTTTCCATCTTCTGCATCAAAATCGGGTGCCTGAAGTTTGCGCCTTGACGGGTGAAGTGTAGTGTCTTCAAAGGGACCTCTGAAAAGGCCTTCCGGGATCACCATTTCATCAGCACCATGGCCGATATCGACGAGTACGGGGAGGTTTTGAACAAGTACTAATACCTCCCACTTTGAAGCTTAATTATGCGAGGCTGTGCCAAGAAATCCTAACTCCCGCTCATTGTTTTTACTTGTTGCTCAGGTAGGCTCTGATACCTTTTTAAGTGTCTCTCAGAGAGAAATTCTTTATCCCGCTCAGCAACAATCTTGACATTAGACGTCGACCTTCAAACAGTCATAATGTGTCCTCTTTTCCCACAACTCCAATAAATCCACAAACCCGGCTGGGTAGAGTGCTCGAGGGCGTGATTGATGTCCACACTACGGCACAGGATCGTTCTAGATTCTGGGTGCTGGGCTTCTAAACTCGCGCCGAAGTTCATGGAGCGCACCGATTAGACTCACAACGATGACTTCGCGCTTTTATCGCCGATGTCCAATCGGCGCGTTCCGCGAACTTTTGGCACCAACTTTGTGTTTGACGACTTCAGGGCCCCTGCACTGGTAACTTTGTGTCAACATCCGTTCCTCAGCCACTGCAGCTTTTGTGGCACAGTATATTTTCGTCCGGCATAAACTTCGCCTGCTATAATGCTCTGCTTTCTGGGCCCCTATATATTTCGTTTGCTGACGGACAGTCTCCAGTTGTTGAGCGATTGTCAGTGCCCTCATTAAGTCCAATGTGGAGTCCAGTTGTCGTCTTCCTAAATCCTTTCTGTCTTGCAGGCCTACCACCTAGCAACCTCTGGTAAGTTCTTCCTTAGTTCACCCAACCTGTAAATATCAACTAAATTCTAGACTCCAGAGCATACAAAGCCGTTGCAATTTTTTTCCAGGTTCACATTCTCTCTGAGTTCGGTTGTTGAAGCGTGCTCTCTCAAAGATTATGTTGCGTCTTGGAAAGGAATAGCTATAGTAACAGGCAGGATCACTTCGAACACTTTAGCGTTTGCGGGAGTTAAGTTGAACGTAGTAAAGATGGCTCCCGTTTGTGCTCTCATTAAGCAGACATCTGTGTGAACTTGCTCATTCTTCGGCTTCCTCTTGTAATTCCGAGGTTGTGCAGTACTAAAGAAGATGTTTCTTCTATCCGGGCCTTTCGTAAGGAGTGGTGAATGTGAATGGCTCGATTGAAGTTATTTAGAACAAAGCCATAACCTCATGACTGCGTACCTTGAGGTTGACAGGTGAAATTTTGTATCAGGAGCTTTTTGCGGTTTCTTCGTGTTCTGAGAAATCCCTTCTGACACCATGTTTAAAAACGGCAACCGTTCTATGTTGGGTCACGACCACAAAGCGCACAGTTTACGTCATCTTTGTCCCCCGTGTCGGTAGAGCCATCCCAAGAGATGAACTATGTCACACCATTAATTCGCGGTCCTGAATTTCAGTAGATTTGTTATGTTGTCGCTGAACTTAAGGCGAATAAAATGAGAGCTTTATCTTTTAATGCGGTATCTGTGTTCTTTTTACGTCTTTTGCGTAACCTCTGGCGAGCACCAGTGGTTTTTTGTTTTAATATTTTTCGAATGATGACCTTATTTTTTTCTTCTTGAAATTGTGCCGCCCAGGGGCTTCCGCCTTCAAGTATCACGTGCTCAAAGGAAGAAAAAAAGCGTAATAAAGTAATAATAATAATAGTTTTTATTCACCATATAATTATGGTGGGAGCTGAGGAAAAAAGCTGTCTGATCAGCTTGACTGGTCCTCAGCCCCTTTACAGATACCCAGAGGTTGCAAAAGCATACACAAGAAATTATATAAAGTGAAAAACAATAAAAGCAAAGAACAAAGAAAAAAACATTTACGGTTGAATCAGTGTAATCAGATAATTACTTTGATAGAAAAATATCTCCTAATATCAAAACAAACAGCAAACAAAACACACCAACGAGGGAATCAGTGTAATCACGTAATTACTTTGATAGACAATATCTCCTATTATCATACATGCTACAGGATTGTTTATCAAAATTATACCGGGTCATTTTGTTCAGAAACGTTGGCAGTGTTTTTTTTAATTATCTGTAATCCATAGTGAGTACAATATGCATCTACTACCCAGAATAGGAATGATAAGCTAGTTAAAACACGTCGTATAATGGGCACGATCCCTTCCTTGCCTATTGGCAACCTAGTAGAGAAAAGCTTGAAAATGGTTAAATTTTTCCTTTTATACTGCCAACATAGTACCCAATTTATTATGTAGCTCAGAGCCCATAATTCAACTCAGCGTGCTCAAGTTGTACCACTCACCAAAGATGGTGTTGGTTGGGTTCAGCGCCGCCTGGCCCTTGGCCGCCTCCCCGATAAGCCTCTCGTGCTCGGTGAAGGCCACATAGCTGGGCGTGGTACGGTTGCCCTGCTCGTTGGCGATGATCTCCACCTTGCCCTGGCGGAACACCCCGACGCACGAGTACGTGGTGCCTAGGTCGATGCCGATGGCCATACCCGCTGCACTCATGGCGCCACTGCCACCCCCGGCCCCGTCCTGCACAGCTGTGCACATCGAAATGTTTAGGTATTCGAAATTGTTTAACGCACTAGAGCCTTTACGCCCTAAAGAGTGTAAATCAGCGTGTCCCAGGACTGGCGCCCTAACTGCTGGCCCTATGGTGTTAAGAGGAACACCCTAGTAACACCTTAAGGGATAGCACCATAGGGCTAACTTAACACCCATAGGGTTTAACCGTAACACTCTTAAGGCGCTGGTGAACAGCCTAAAACTAAAGTGCTAGCGATATTAGTATCTTTCAAGGGGTAATATTTTAGCAGCCACATGCTTAGAAGCAGCAAGAAACAGATGCAGGTCTCACGTGCGCAGCAACATCAGGTACAGGCGTGATGAATCACACTTAGCATAGGAATCACGACCTTGTTCATTGCTCCACCGCCTTACATACTCCACATTTCAAAGACAGACATTCGCTGGTGCCCGTCTCCGCAATTACGAGTGTTACATGTACATTGCTTTATTGTTTTCACCAATACTTCACGAGGAGTATATTGTATCTAAGTTCGTGGAATGTATCTCTAAGTACAAATTATTCTTACAAGCAATAGTTATTCGATATACTGTAAACTACTTTATTTTTGTGGACTCTATATTTACCGAATTCGGCGGAGTGTGAAATTTAGGAATATTTCATGGGTAAACGATTTCGCGATTGGGAGTGGTACTATATGTATTAGTTACTACAGAATAATACATTCACGAGAGTTTTTTTCGGCGATATTTGTTTTAAATTGTAAAATTATCGTAAATTAAGTCCGCGAGCAAATAATTGTTTCACTATAGTCGCTAAAACAAGCTGTTTCAAGCATCTCTGAACGCAACAAACACGCTAAAAACAAATGGTATTCCCTGCAACAACAACTCATATTATCGTTAAAAAGGGTGTAAAACTTAAAATGTAGGGCTCGCAAGTTAGTAGCCACGGTGTTTGTCTCTAAAACGCCCTTTTCCCATGCTCAAGGGTTTATATATTTCAGCGTAAGGGCTCCACGCAACGGAGGACAATGAAGTAAATATGTCTACCAGCCGTAGGACTGTTTGCCACAGGTTTTTCCAAGCGTAAATTAAGCTGTCGACACTATACGGGGCATTCCAGGGTCGTCATATCGTTGGACGTTGTTCACAGCGCATGCTCAAAGCAAGCTTCTCGTTTATCGTCTTCCAAGAACAACAATTCCGAATGTGTGGAATGGACGTTGAAAGCGCGGCCTCTTGCCTTCCTCGCAGTCAGTGATGAAAAAGCTATGGGTACACTCTTAATCTCTTTCCACTTAGGTTCCAGTTAAGTCCTGTATTAGGCTAGCGTTCCACTAACTTCGACTGAGCCCGGGCAAATTTTTAGCGGATCAAATGATTTTAAGTGGAATGCCTGTTTTTTCATCTTTCTATCATTGATTTTTTTAGGTGGAATTTCCTGTTTCACCTAAATCTGTTCCATTTACTAAAACCTTTTTCCACTTAAACAAATCGGAGCACGTGGTGACAAAGCTCGCGCTGCAGAACCCAGGATCCTGGGTTCATTCCCCACCCTTGCCCGTTTCGATCTGGATGAACATCGTACCGCCGTGCGGTCGTCTATCACTACTGCGTGATGCACGTTAAAAAAAACCAGGCTAGCGGTTGTACTGCACTGGCTAAATTTATCGTCTACAGCTGGGAGTCTTGTCGCCCGCTGAAGCAGATCATGCTCTAGGCTGTATAAACATACACACAACTCAAATGATTTCTTCGCACAATCTTTTTTTTTATAAAAAAAATAATATGGGACCCTGTTTTACTGATGCGGTGTGTTGTAGAGAAACACTCCAGAAAAGAAGGAGGCGATCGTTTTTCAAAATTTACAACTTTGTTATTGACTTGGACACCGTGTGCGAGTCCCTCCTCCGCCTAAAACAGTAATGTTTAAGAGCAAAGTTTTCATACCATATTTTTTAATATGCAGTAGACGCAGTATATGCAGTAGACGCGCTAGATATTTTTGATGTTGAATGTTGCCTGCGATGAACAAGGCTGCGCGAGTTCTAGTATGGGTAGGACAATCATGCCTGGTCATTTATTGCGGGCAGCACATAAAAGAGGCCAATTTTCCTAGGTACATGGCGGTTTTTACAGTAAACTCCCAACGCCAATGAATTATCGAATAAGCTACTTAAAAATATGAATCAAAGCAAATAAAAATAGCAATCTGTGCATAAATAACGCCCGCAAGTGCTGAGTTTTCAATATTTTAAGAAGCGTATATTCTAGCTTACCCAATCGACATAAAACTGGCCTGGTCCTCTAAATTACTGTTTTTTTTGTGTTGGCAAATAAAGGAGTGAGCTTCCAATGCATTACAAGCGTACTGTCAATCATTTTATCTTTAAGGAACATAGTTGTGCCGCAACAAACAATTTTGTAAAAAAATGCCACACAGACATTCTTTTAGAGCGCGTGGTGAAAGTAAAGCTACCAGAGAACTTAGAGATAAACAACGTTTGCAGCATCATTGTGTTTAAGTGATTTTCGTTGCAGCAGCAAATATCAGCGACAATTTAACATACATCAACATAGATCTAGAAATTTTTAACACAAAAATTGTACATGAGCGACCTCCGATAGTCAAATAACGAATGGTGGATTCCATTCTCGCTACCAACGTTTTGCACAAAAAAAAAAAAAAAAAAAAAAAGCGAGCTCTGAGACAGTGCCAATTAGCCAAAGCTCTAATACCGTAGTTACACTAGCGCTCTTAACTGTCATCAAGCTAACGATTGTTGACATCTTCCAAGTGTGACTCAGCCCAACTGAGTTGTGCGGTGTTACACAGTACATAGGCCAAACAACCCGAGTTGAGGTGCGCGTCAAGGCGCACAGGTGAAACCGAAACAATACTAAAACTGTTCTCACATTGCCTTTTGTTTAAGTGTTGCAAATTAATTATTTGCATACTTTTTATTCATTATAAACGTGTAGAAAAAAAACGAACCTGTTTTTGCTTTTTGTTTTTTCGAGTAAAAAATTGTAATTAGAACGTTTCGCAGTAATTAAAAGCAAGTGATACATGATAAAAGTCTTATCGGCACCGACATCATTATGGCCACCCTTGCCGAGATTTGGCTTCCGCGACCTGCCATGTTCGTTTTAGTGGCAGCTCTGGCTTCGAATCATACCTCTGCCGACAGTATTTGCTGCTACGATATATTCTAGATACCTCCCTTGATCTTCCGCAATAGCAAATGCTTAGCTAATACGGGCCATGAGCGGCATTGTGGCAGATGACGCCATCTTTAGCTCTATTGGGGCAGACGCCCATCAGTTAACTGAGGTAGGCCAGCTCAGTTGAAGTCAATAGACCCCTTTCGAAAGTCACGTACGGATTGAAAATAACTCCGATCCACTGCACAATGGTGGAACAACCGACGCCGCGAACGTGCAAGTATCGGGAATGGGTAGCTTCAACTTGGGTGCTCCCGCTGCACGAGGGCTCGTAAACAGGGACGCATTCGAACCCCTATACTTCGTTTCACCTTATCTGCGAGCGAAGCCAAAGCTAAAAGCACGAGACCAGCGCTTTTTGCGTTTCTCCCCAGCTCGCGCGCTCGAGCAAAGCCTGAACGCACGGAGCTTTCGTGCTCGCGCTTCCAGCTTTGCCCTCGCTCGCACATAAGGTGAAACGAAGTATAGAAGCTTGCACTTGTGTCCGCCATTGCGCAAAGATTCCGCAGCTCCGAACGGAGCGCACACTTTCGAAAGGGGTCTGGGTTTATTATTGTTAGCGGCTAATGACAGTTAGCGCCGCCATGTAGCTCCGGTCGATCGCGATTGAGTCAACTATCGTTGGTTTAATGACAGTTAAAAGCTCTAGTGTAACTAGGGTATTGTACAGCTTTCTCGTGGCAAGATTGCCATTTGTTCAAGGACATATTTTAGCCGGCGTGCATGAATTCTCTACGAGCGACGTCGAAAAAAACGCATACAAGAGCATTCCAATACACTCATCTCGCCTTAGCATGGACTATTGTTAGCCGCGCATGCTAAAACCGCGAGCTAATTGCCTTGGATGAAGCCTCAGTGTTCGACGAGCGCTCAGCCAGCTATAGGGAGCATTCACTGGCGGCCATATCCGTGTGCTCTGCTGCTGAGCGCGTGCTGACGGCGAGCTTCCGCAGTCCTTTGAAGCGTGCATTTAGAACCATCAAGGTTGCCGGTCTTAGCAGACTATTAATGTGAGCTCGTTCTGAGCATGCGCTCTGAACATCGCCCTCAAATACGACGTTAAGGTGCAACCCCACCCCTGGTTAGTGTGATTCTGAACCAACAGATGGCGGTGGGATCGCCTTCCAGGCCTATACATCAATGCGAGAAATCGTGTGTGGTGGCGCTTCGATACAGTTGGATATTCTTCTATATCCAGAATTTGACATCCCTGGTCCCTTGCTTGGTTTTCTCTGCATGAGCTTTCTTTGGAACGCGCACGGCTGCGCCAGTTCTCGTGCAAGGGGGCCAGTTGCCACGCTCCGAGCTCACGTCTCCAGCAAATGTAGGCAGAACAAAACGCGAAAATTGTCCTGAGCCAAATGGCGAGACACATGCACAACAAAACTACTGACGCGTTGAAAATGTAAAATTGCCTGCGCGCCGTTACCGGAGATTTCAGAGGCCATTGACACATATTACAATGTGATCAGATTTATACTTATACGAATGAAGGTGAGGAGAGGACGAACAGTGAACTGAAAACTAAAGGTTTAATCGGCGAACTTGTTCCAAACAAAAAAAAAAGTAAACAAAGAGCGTCGAGGCAGCAGAAAAGCGGGCGGCGATTCGGCAGCGTAACAAAGAGCGAGAGCGAGACTGACTCGACAAGGTCGCTGGCAGCTGCTTGTCTAGAGTGCGTCACGTCACCATCTCGAAAGTTCGGCAAAGAAGGTTCGTGCATCGCGCGTTCGGGGCGAGGATGAACTGGC